ATAATCTTGTTTGCGCAGGCACAGGGTTGAGGGGGCTTAAGGGGTGAGAGGGTTAAGGGGCCACTCCCTAGCCGCCACTTGGCAGAGGTCAGGGTGCAGGGCGGGGACGAGCTGGGGTGGCTGTAGGGGGGCTCCCTACCACTGCAGGAGCTTGAGCTGCATCAGGCCTGCCAGCCTTGCAGAAGAGCACTTTGGGCTGAGGGCTGGCGCAGTGGGGAGGCTGCACCCACAAGGCTGGGTCCTGGGCTGCAGCAGCGGGGCTGGCTCAGCCCTGGTGGGAGCTCCTGCCCACTGCTCATCCTCCACCCTCCCAAGTGTTAGTCTGCAATATTGCCAGGAGCAAGGTGGAAACAGACTAGGGGGCTGCTTTCCACCCCCAATTCTCTCTCCTCCTGGGCCTCAGGGGCCTGTGAAGTCCCCCTCCAGAGGTCAGACCCAGCCCAGCCCCTTGCCCCCAGGCACCTAAGATGCTCCCCTCCTTCACCTCGGTACTGCAGGATCCTGCCCATCAACCTCTCAAACCTTTCCCATCCCAGCACACGGCTCAAGCCCAGTTTTGATCAACTCTCTCCTTTGTTCATGAACTATCTGTAGCTCCCACTGCCCACAAGAGATAGCCCAAGTTCCTTATTGTGGCATTTGAGGCCTCTCCAAGACACGATAACTAAATGCTTATAGAGCACTTAGCACGTTAGGCACTGTTCTTATCACTACACATTTAATAATTTGTTTACTCCTCATAATACCCTATAAGATAGGTATTGTTACTAATCTTCATTTTACATATAAAGAAACTAAGGTCCAGAGAGGTTACGTAACATATCTATGGTCACAGAGCTATTAATGATAGAGCCAGGATTCAAATTCAGGCAGTCTGACTCCAGAGCTCCCACTCTTAAACATTAAGCCATACTGCGGGGTTGACTGCCAGCCCCCCATCCCATCCCACTCTGCCCTCCAGCCCGGCCCAGATCCTATTTCTCCCAAATACTCCTCTGCTTTCCACCTCCAAAACTGCTCATACAGTACCTTCCACCTGGAATGCATTCCCTATCATCTCTGCCATCTGCAATCTGAGAAATCCCCCCACATCTTAGTTCCATCAAGATTCAGGTCATACGCCACCACTAAGAAGCCCTCCTGAAGCCCGCCTCCAGCCAGAAATTATTGCCGATCCTGTTCAGGGCTCCCACACACAGCACATGTCTGTCCTTCTTTTTATGGTGCAGGTTAGCTTTGGCAAAGCGTGACAGCTATTTGTGTTCATGACTCCCAGAATCCCAGCACAGGAAGAGAATTGGATAATCTCCTAGCTAGCACAGAGCGCAAGGCCTGGAGCAGAGTAGGTGGTCAATAAAAGCTTCTAGCATGAGGGATTCAATGAACAGCTCTGGTGGCCGTGCTGGTAAGTCCTCTCACCTGAACTTTGACCACAGCCTCCAGTCTCCTCTGCCAATCTGTTCTCCATCCTGTGGCCAGAGGGAGCTTTCCAAAGGACGAATCTGACCATTTTGCTCTTCCACTAAAACCCTTCCACAGCTCCTCATAACTCATTCAATAAACAACAATTGAGCACTTTCTATATGCCAGGCACAGTGCTAAGTGCTGGAAATAAAACAGTGAACAAGACACATCAAATTTGTTCCCTCGGGGAGGTGACATTATAGTAGAAGAAACAGACTATAAATATATACTATCATTTCAAGGAGAGATAAATGCGAGGAAGGAAACTACAGCAGAGTGATAAAAGGTGCTGTTTTAGATGCAGTGGTCAGGGAAGGTCTTTTTGAAGAAATGGCATATAACCAGAGCCCTGATGAAAGTGAAGAAGTGAGCTGTGTGGTTATCTGAGGCAAGGGCAGTCCAGACAGAGGGTAGAGCCAGTGCAAAGGCCCTGAGGTAGAACTGTGGCTGGCATGTGTGAGGAACAGCAAGGAGGCCAGTGTACCTGGAGCAGAGTGAACAAGGGGAAAGTGACAGTAGATCATGAAGGGCACTGAGCCCACTATAAAGACTTTGACTTTTGCTCTGATTGAGATGAGGGATGTGATCTAACTTGGGTTTTGCAGGAATCATCCATAGGATAACCTCCAACTTCCTCACCAAAGCCATGGATGGCTCTCCTGACATGACCCCTGCCTCATACACCCTCTGCCCCATTACCCCAACCTGGCTACCTCCTGCTCACCCTTCAACATTTAGCTCAGCTGTGCCCTTCCATGTCTGCCTGCCCCTTCCACACAGTTTGGCTTACAGGTCCTTCCTCTGTGCTGCCATAGGACCCTAGAGTCACCTTTATCCTTAGGGCAAGGGCATTAATTAGCTCATTGAAGCCTGGCAACTTATTGAGGCAGATGCCATTAGCCCCATGTTATAGATGAGGACACTGAGGCTCACAGAGGTGATGCAAACTTGCCCGAGGTCATGCAGCTATTAAGTGAGAAAATCAGGATGCAATCCCAGGGCCCAGGCTGTCTTTTCATGACATCTCGTTGCCTGTCCCCACTTCTGGTCCCATGCTGGCCCTCACTCTCCACTCTTTAGCAATTCCCCCCTTGAGAGCTCACGCCTGTTTTGATTGCAAAGGGAATAGTGGCAGGGAGGTCAGGCTGTCAACACAGGTTCCCCCAAGAGGGCCTGGCAAAAAGGACAGTGCTTGAGGGTATTGCTCCTGATGTCATACATACTACTGAAGAAATGGGACGCAGGGACGTGGAATCCCTTAACTCAGAGCCCCCAAAACTCTCAGGGACATGTTGATCACATGGAAAATCTCTCTTCTCTCTCCCGCACATGCTCATTTACACACATGCACACATACAGAACATGCTCTGCAGTAAAAAGCTAGGCAGGCCTAAGCTCAGGTCCTGAGTGCCATTTACCAGCCGGGTGTGCCTGGGCGTGGCCCTTCACCTCTCTGCACCTGTTTCTCATCTGCACAGGGCCGGAAGAAATGCAGTTCCCTGTTTGGATTCCTGGACTTCAGAAAGGGCCTGGGAGACCCCACTCTCTCTGGACTCCTCCACGCTAGGAGCAAAGAAAACACACACATGCACACACACACCCATGTGCACTGTCTGCTGGGCTATTTTGTGGGGGAAACTGGAGCACATCCTCTCAAGTGGGAGAAATAAACCACGTTACACAAATAACCACAGTACAAAGCTGAAAGTTCTCAGGGCTGGGGAACAGAGGAAGTGCTGGGGGAGCTCAGGAGAGAGCTTCCTTCTGCTTGGGGGTGGCTGAGCAGAATAAAGATAAACTTGCACTTACAGCACAACTTCCCTGTGTCAAGCATTTTCTGAACATTATTTAATCTGCATGGCAAACATGAAGGAAGAATTAGGATTCCTATTTTACAGGTGAGGAAAAGGGTCCAAGGGGGAAAGTCACTGCCAAAGGTCTCAGAGCTAGCAAATGGCAGAACAGGGACTCAAAGCCCAGAGCCTGTGCTGGTTCCCCTGCTACCTTGAAGGCTTCCTGGGAGAGGAAGCTATTGAATGGGTCCTACCTAGGAGGAGTTGGTAGAGATGAGGAGTGAGGGGCCTGGTGAGCCAAGGCACTAAGATGGGGAGAAGTGGGGCAGGATGTTCCACAGGGATTCATAGTGGGGGCACTGACCCTCTCCAGATGATGTTCCTAATGGGAGGTCTCTCTCCCTCCTTCCCTTTATTGGCACTACCTAGAGCCAGATAGCCAGCAGGGGATGGGATCAGGATGCAGTTGCCATGGAAATGAATGGGGGCTGTTGCTATGGCTACCATAAGACATAAGACGAGGGCAAGAGGAAGCTAGGGATGCTGAGGACTATCCCCATGACAACTTGGGCGAGAAGCGGGGGACCGGAAGTGAGAGACAAGAAAACAAGACGTGGAGGTCAGCAACACCTAGATGAGGCCTGGGGCATTGGGCTCTGGAAGAAGACTGGGCAAGGAGACTGGACCGAGTGGAGGGGTGGGGGCAGAGGGGCGGAGGGACTCCAGTCACCTCCCTCTCTTCTGATAGCTCTTCTGCAAGCTGTTTCTGCTACCCAATCCCAGCACCACAGAGATTCCAACCTTGAGGCCAGCCTGGCTTGGCACAGGGGCCGGCGGGGGAGAAGGAGGCCATCAAAGGGGCCTACGGGTTATACAGTGGGCAAACACAGGCTTAGGAGCACACGGACCTGGGTTTGAATCCCAGCTCTGGTTCTTTGCAGCCCTAAAAATAACAGTTGTCGTTGACTGAATAGTTACTCTTTGCTAGGCCCAGCAACTCTGCAAGGTCTGGGTTGTTCTCCCTGAAGTGGATAACACAGATGAGGAAACTGAGGTGCAGAAAAATGAATTAATTTGCCCAAAGTCTCAAAGCTCAGCAGTGATGGAACTAGGATTCAAAACAAACGCTCATGCTCTTACCCACCACCTGACATGAGCAGCCCCTCCAAGGTGGAATCCTTGCATCCTCTAGCTCCCCATGCCTTCCCACAGTAGCACACAGAGGGCCAGATGCTGGGTAAATATTTGTGCAGTGTGTGAGTGAGGAGGCAATCCAGGAAGCCAGAAAGACTGAGGTTAGATTGAAGAAGTGCATAGCTTCGAAAGCAATGACTCATGGGTTTGGCTGGCCAAGGGTAGAAGATCCAGACAATTGGGATGGACTTTACGAACCATCTGATCCCACAGATCCAAACTGAGGCCCAAAGAGTCAAAGTGACTTGCCCAGGGTCACATAGGACAAGAACCCAAATCCCCTACCTTCCAGGGTAGTGTCCCACTTTTAGTTTTTTAGCTGAATTTGTCCAGCACCCCCCATCCCCACACCTTTAAGCTCCTAGACATGGGCAACAGCAGGCTACTTGCACTTCCTAGGCTATGGCAAGCTGACCCATATCACCATGGCTGTACTCATGCTCTTCCTTTGTTTCTTCTGCCCAGGAGGTCCTCCCTCTCCCCTTCACCCGCAGACTTCACTGCTTGGGTGAGCTCATCTGCATCTTGCAGCACCCTGAGCAGGTGAGCCATCCTGGGAAGTCAGTTCTGACTTACTCCCACCCTCTACAGAACCTGACAGGGTCAGCTACTCCCCACTCTATGTCTCATGCACATTCATGTCACAGGCAGTCCTTATCACCAACTAACTTGTGATTCCTTCTTGAAGTGTCCATCCCCCACCCTGCCCCTGTTCCCCAAGGGCAGTGGCCTAGTATGATTCACCTCTGTGGACCATCCATGCCCAGGCCAGGGCCCAGCATACAGCACGTGCTCAGCAGCTGCCTTGGGGCCCTAAGACCACAGGTAGCAGTCATGTGTGTCTGTACATCTGTGTGACCATCCTGCCTGACAACTGTCATCCTAAAAGCCACAGCCCCACATGATCAAAAGCCACCCACAGTCACCCATCCAGTCTTATGATTATCTCCACCAGGCACATGCAGAGAGCCTGCCAGACACAGAAAGTCACCACCTCACACAGTCGACCTCACACTCAGAATTGCTCACCCTCAGCTTCACACAATCACATTCCCTCAGATACATAACAGTCCACAGTATCTCACTCCTGATAGACCTGCCTGGCCTCACATAAAGACATGCACACATATGCGCAAGCACACACGTTTCCCTCACAACTGATAGAAACCTTCCCCTTCCCACAGCACAGGCCCTGAGCCAATTCAGTTGCCTACACAGGAGTCTATACGATGGCTCCCATGATGGCCATCTGACCTTGACTTGCCCTCTCCCTCCATTTAGTTGAACCCCTGCTCCCCCTACTTCCTTCTACCTCCAGTCAAATGAAGGGTAGAATGGTCTCCTCCTCCCTAGCCACAGGTCACCTAGACTCACACGCCCTGGAGAGCCAGTCGAACAGAGCAGTCTACATACCATTCCACAACATGACCTTGGAGCTCTCCCCAGGTTATTGTCCATGCTATCCCTGTCTCCTGTAATGCTGCCTCACTTCTGCCACCTGTTCAAACCCTTCCCAGCCTTACACTCTTGCCCCTTTTTCTCCAACAAGCCCTCCTGGACACCACCCCACCTAGCCCACCTTGACAGCTCCTTCCTCTTTGGGCCAGGAACATATTTTGCTCATTACTGCAGCCATATGTGCTCAATCATTTCTGCCCATCATACTTTGCCTACTTTCCCAAAGCATTTCTCACCTCCCTTGGCAGATGGAGAACTTATGGAGAACACAGCCACTGTCTTACTTTTTATCCCTCACAGTATTTTAGCCTGAAGCCTTGCACACAGTAGGTGCTCAAGCAATACCTTCTGGAAAAGCAAATAAGGGAGAGAGAAAGAGAGAGGGAAGGATGGAGGAAGGGATGGAGGGAGAGGGGAAACAAATGAGAATTTGAATGAGTGGATGAGTAGATGAGTTGAGTGACTAAATGAGTTAAGCAAAGAGTGAGGGAATCAGGTAAGCCTCCAGGAAAGCTACAGGATCAGTGTGATGGGGATGTTGAAGGGAGGAAGGAAAGAAAGGAGAGGAAGGACTCTCACCTGGGCCTTAATCAAAACCAGAGCCACTAACCACTGCACACTTGCCCAACCGTGCACCAGACTCTATGCTGGGCTCCTTGCATTTTCTTGCTAATCTTCATGACAATCCAGAAAGGTAGATATATTCTCACTGTACTCGGGAGGAAAATGAAGCTTAAGGAGAAGAAAATACTTGCTCAAGGTTACACAGATAGTAAGTAAGTGACAGAACCAGAAGGTAAACTCAGATTTGTCTCATGCCAAAGGCTCAAAAAGGGAAAGTCGGGGTATGAGACCTCCTGGCGTTGCTCCTGACAGAGACACATCATAGAAGGTGTGGGTCTTACAGCCCATAAAAACACCTTCCACCCACCTGCCAACAGCCTCCAGGGATTCTTAGAACCAGCTTCTGGCAGGAAATATTCAGGGTCATTGTATCTGGGGAAAACGGCTTCCCCTCAGATTCAGAGATCCCTCAAGTTGTAAAATCAGAACCTTGAAAGTACAGAATCAAGGACTCTTAACATCACAGAATATTAAAATCACATCATCAGAATTTGTTTTAAATGGTAGAATCATTAAATCTTAAAACCACAGGATTGGAGAATCCAAAAATCACAGCATTGTAGAAATAGAAACCACAGAATTGCATGGAATGTGTCACTGAATTATCATATCTTAAGTTCATAAGTAATCATAGCTTCTTAAAATTGTAGCATCTCAGACTGACAGAACGTCAGAGCTGGAGGAGCCCTTGGAAATCCTCTGATCCAACCCCCCTCCTCCTTTTACCCACTGGGAAACCTGGTAGCAGAAAGGCCAAGCAACATGTCCAAGTTGGCCAACTCAGGTCACCTTGGGCTGATGGGCTGGAGAAGGCAACAGGCTTGCCCATGGTGGGAGCACCACACCACTCATTCACTTATTGAGTGCTTTTTGGGTGTTAATATTACCATGAATCAAAGCCTACTCTCTCTCCCAGTCCTGGATAGGAAAGAAGGTAAGGCCCTGGGGGGGTTGGGGAGAGGGAAGCGGAAGTGGGGTGGAACATACATCAGACAGAGAGAAGAGATCAGCTTTTATTGATGGAAATTCCTTTGTACACAGCGACACGACACGCACTCTGAAAGGCCTATGGAAGTAGCAGGGGGCATGGGACAAGGCCTTCAAGCAGTGGAGGAGATGGCAGCGATGGCCACAGCGAAGGAAAGAGCGACGGGGAACTAGGCAGGCTGGGTCCCGCCCCCGTCTGGTCCTCTGAGCCCTAGGCACCCTGCATCTCTGTTTGTGCTCACAGAGGACAGAGGTAGGTCCTTGGGATGTCATTTAGAGACCTCTCCAGGAGTGGCAGGCTCCAGGGTGCCTGGGAAGTGGGGTGCAGGTGTGGGAGAGTCCAGGTTCCAAGCTCCAAGCTCCAAGCTCTGCTGCTCCCACATTTTAGTCAGACCTAGGGCTCCAGCCTTTATAATTTGGGGGCTGGAGTCCAGGGGAGACAGCAGTGGGGGGTGGGAATTCCAAGAAGGAGGTGGGGGAGGGAGGGGCATGATGCTTGCCCATCTGGTTCCTGAAGCAGGGATGGGGTCCCATGGGGGATCGCAGGGGCGGGGTGGGGCTGGTTAAGGCTTTTGCTTCTGCATAGAAAATGACCCTTGTCCTCTCAGTTACCGAGAGGAGGGACTACTGCACTCGGAGGCCGGACAGCAGAACTGATGAGCGTCTTCCTCTTCCTCTTCCTCAGTTTCCTCCTCCTCCTCCTCTTCCCTGGGGCCAGGAAGGGCAGGGTAGAGGCCACAGGCGGCAGGTGACAGAGAGAGGCAGAGGCATTAGTTTGCAGAGCAGGGGAGATACATGAAGGGCTGGAACCCGGGAGCTGGGGCTAGGATGGGGGTCTGAATGGGGAGGCCAGTAGGACGGATTATGCAGGGCCACACCCAATTCAGTCTCCAAGGAGTCTGTTGCTGGTCCCCTCCTGGGACAGCCCTCCCCCACACCCAGGCTGGGCTCAGTCTTAAGGTCATGCCCAGAGTATATGCCCTGACAGGTGCCCAACCTCATTTTAATATAAATAGTAGCAACTTGCTCTATGCTGGCACTTTACGTATATCATCTCACTTAACCCCTGCAACAACTCTGCATCATTTTAGAGACAAGGGAATAGAAGCTTGGCAAGGTTAGATAAGCTGCCCAAGCTCACGTAGTTAGGTGAGTGGTAGAGTCTGGACTTAAACCTGGAGTTCTTGGAGCTCCAAGTCTCAGACTCGTTCTACCAGGTCCTTTGGGTGAACTTGGCAGTATCTGTAGAAATCCACTCTGCCCTTGAAGGACAAAGATTTGCATTTCCTCAAGGCTCGGGGTCAGGAAAACAGAATGGAATATGGCAAGCCCACAGCTTTGGAAGCAAATAAACCTGGGTTCTAATGCCAGCTCTACAAGTGCTTCCAGGCTATGTCCCCCGGGTATGTTATTGCCCCTTTTAGAGCCTCGGTTTCCTCATCTGTAAGCATCATGGAGCTCATGATGCCAACTCCACAGGATTGTTGCAAGGACTAGAACATACGTCAAGTGCCTGGCAAACAAGAGCAATGTGAATATGGTGGTGGTTATTGTTAACTGCTCATGAACTGAATCTAATTCCCAAGGTGGCTGTTTGTACCTACACAGACGTGTCACAGTACCCACACAGCAGCGAGGAGGAGTCAATGCAGGAACAAGTGCCTGTCCCTAGGTACTGGGGAGTGGTACCAGGGGCCAGTCTGCATGTGGCACTCACTGGAGCTGGGCTACAGTTTCTTGGGGTGGATGGACAGACAGTTGGGCTAGGGGAGGACCACGTGCCTTGGGAGTGAAAGGCTGATTTTCTGGGGCTAGCCAATGAAACAGTCTCACCTCACTCCCAGATCCCTTGGCTCAGGGGAGGCAGTAAGTATGGAATCCAGGAAACTAGAGGATGGGGAAGAGATGAGAAGGAAAGAGGACAGGCAAGGGAAGGCACTGCTGTCCATCTGACAGACAGACAAGCATGCACATGCGTACACACACAGGCACACAAGCACACATGCACACCTTCCTCATATTCAGAGCTCCCTCTGACACATTGTTCCACAAAGTCACTGAGCCAGCAAAACTACATGAACCAGGGCTCAAGTCCTAGGAAAGTAACTCCATTCTGAGTCTCCCATTCTTCATCTATAAAAGGAGAAGAAAACTCCACACCTCTCAAGGCTATCACGAGGAACAAATTATCTCTCAGTCCCACTGCTTATTCCTCTTGTATTCAGACCAGGCCTCTGCTACCCCTCACCCTGACACTGCAGTCACCTCCTGATTTCTTCTCCCTACCCTCTTGGACCTGTTAGCCTTCCTAATGGAGTCTTTAAGCATGAATCTCTTCTGCTCAGACACCCACCTTGGCTCCCCATTGCTTCCTGGATAAAATGCAGACTCCTCAACTTGGCATTCAAGGCTCCCCCACCATATGGCCTCACCTGGTCTTTCCTGTCAGGTGGAAAAAGCATGGGCTTTAGAGTCAGACCTGGGTTTCCAGATCAGCCCCACCACCTACTAGCTGGGTGACCTTGGGTCCATTTCTTCACCTCTCTAGGATTTATTTTCCTTATCTGCAAAAAATGAGAAAATATCTATACTGCAGGATGAGGTGGGATTAAACAAATTCAAGTATGTAAAGCACTTGCCACAGGGCAGGTTTGGTGCTTTACACACAGTAACTATTATTATTACTGTCATTATCAGTGGCATCAATGTTATCCTGCTCACTCATACCCAGCCTGCATCAAACTAGCTTGTTCATTATTCCATCAGCATGCCCAGCCTTTTCATGCCTCTATGCCTTTGCTAACTTTGTTTCTTCCTTCTGCACAGATCTCTGCCTATTAAAATCCTATCTGAACTTGACAGCCCAGCTTAAATACTGCTTCCTGCACAAGTCTTCCCTGACTCCCAACCAGAAGTATTCTCTGCTTCCTCCTAGTTCTAGCATCCATGTGCTTGGTCAAGGATCTCCATTTGTTGCTTTGAGCTTTCCAGAAGCATTTCTTTCACCAATCCCCTCAACGCCCTTGTATTTTTCCCACTACCACCATTGCTCTCCTTCTCTGTGAGAAAAAGAGGGCCCCTATACTATTTAAGGCCAGTCCCTCCAGGGCCTAGGCTCTGGAACCCACCCCTGCTACCTCCTCCACAACAATCATCCCCTCTCTTTCCCATATTTCAACCTCTCCCTCTCTGTTGCCTCCTTCCTACCAACATTTATAGAAGCTCAAGTCTCTCCCATCTGGGAATAAAAACCCTCTATCTGCCCCCACATCTCCCTCTAGCAATCACTGTCCCTCTCTCCTCTTCACAGCTAAGCTTCTTGAGAAATTCGTCTACACCGGCCATCTCCACCTCAGTACTCCCACAAGCTCTTCAACCCACTGCAATCTGCCTCATGCGCCCACCATGCTATGGAAACTTCTTTTAAGAAGGTCGCTCAAGACCTCCTAGTGGTTAAAGCCAATAGATTCTCTTCCACCTTCATCTTACTTCCCCCAGCTGTAACATTTGCCACTCTTAACAAGTCCGTCCTGAGTGCCAATGGCTCTTTCCTTCCTCTGCTTCCGTGAGCCCCCTCCCTGCTGGTTTTCCTCCTACTTCTCTGCCCACCCCCATCTCTTCTTCCTCTCCCCATTCCATATGTGTTGGTACCTCTTCCCCAGTTCTGCTCTGGTCCTCTTATCTTTCATTCCACACTGTCAGTGATCTCATTCCATTCCATAACTTCTGGTATGGCTGAGGACCCCTGCATCTCTCTCTCTGGCATGGATCTCTCTCCCGGGTCCCAGACCCATCAAGCCTAATGCTTGCTGGAAGCTCCACCAGGATGGCCCTTAGGGCCTTCAGAGCTCACAGGGACCTCTAACTCAGCATCTTACCACTGTAAACCTGTCCTCCTGTATTTCCCACCTTAGTGAAAGGCACTACTATTCATCCAGTCGCCCAAACCCAAAATACACCTGGGAGTCCTGCTAGATTCTTCTTGCTCCCTTAGTAAGTCAGTTACCAAATCCCACTGATTCTATCTCCTAAATGGCTCTAAAAGGCTATGCATGATCTGGCTCCTGTACCTCATCTTCTCCTCTCACTCCTTGTTTACTCTTTCTCCAATCATACTGGTCTCCCGGCTGTCCCTTAAACATAACAAGCAGACTCTTGCCTCAGGGCCTTTGCATTCGATGCTCCTTCCATCTGGAACATAATGCCCCAGAGAGGTGAGGCACCAGAAACATTTTATATATTTAGTTGTTTATTTATTATCTGTCTCACCCACTGTAAGATCCACCAAGACAAGCATCTGTTTTGTTCAATGCTAAATCCCTAATGCCCAGCACAGTGTCTGACATACAATAAATATCAGTTGAATGAATGAATCCATTACCAGGCCTGAACACCACAACTTACTGTGAACTTCACCCTTGGTCATCTCCACCTCCCCCCCATTATTTAGTCAGTCTCTGACTCCAGTCCTCTCTTCCTCCCAATCACCTCTCAAATCCGTCTCCCCTGCTCTATCCCCACAGCCGCTACCTTAGCTTATCTCTCACTTGGATTACTGCAACAGCTTCCTCCCTAGTCTCCCTTCCTTCTAAAATGCTAATTCAATCAGGTTACTTTCCTACTCAAGAACTGCTCATGCCTCTCCAGCTGCCTACCACAAAAAAGAAGACTGAACTTCCCCAGACAGCTGTTTGAGCATGTCTAACCTCTGCACCCTACAATGTTAAGTTTCACCATTTCTCACCTCCAGGTCTTTGTGTATACTCTCAGAGCATCCTCCCCTATCCCTATCTTTCAAAATCTTTATGGACCTCGGATGACTGGCTCAAATACTACTTTCTTCAGGAAACCACCTGATTCACAAATCAGAAGTAATTCCTCTCCAAAATTCATAGAAAAGTAAGTGTCTCCAGTATCACTCAGGATCTCCAAGAACCAGGAATAGGATGGAAGTTAGTAATTATGTCTGAGACCAAGGACTTTGGGTGCTGGGTGAGCATTAATAAGGGTTCCCTTTTCCTCTTGCACTATTACCGTGGACTCATGTCCTTCTGGCTCTCTGCTAATGCCAACTCATCTTTGTCTCCTCCCTTTCTCTCACCTTCTATCAGGCCCATTTTATTAATAACTCTCAAAAGATTTAGATTCCATAATTTGAAAGTAAAATGTTTCTATATGAATGGTGCCCACTGGAGTAGTGCAATACAATAGCCCTGCTCGAATGCATGTCTTCTATGCCAATATCCCAGTTTAGGCCCTCTAGCTGGCCTCCACGCATACAATCCATTTCTCATACTGACTGCTAATACGATGTTTCTAAAACACAAATTTTGTCAAATTTCTCTCCTATTTAGAATCCATTCACATGACACTTCATCACGAGCAACATTGGTTCTTAACCTTTTTGGAGGAACACAAACCCTTTATGCATTTAATGAAAGCCATGGACCATCTCCCCAACAAAAAATGCACATAGGTATATACACACACACAGTTTGAATTCAATTTCAGGAGGTTCATGGGCTACCTGAAGCCCATCTGGAACCCATGCAACCCAGGTTAAGAACATCTGGCCCTACCCAATAACATCCAGGTTATTTTGCATATGCTGTTCCTTCTGCCTAGAATGTTCTTCCACACTTCACCCTTCTGTCTCTGGCTACCTTTTACTCATCCTCTAAGACTCAACCCTTAGGCCTAGTCGACCAGTACCAGCAGCCCTAGACGAGGCCAGTTCCCTACCTCTGGGCTTCCACAGCCCCCCATGCTCTCCTTTGTCGTAGCCCTCCTCAGTCTCCCCAACTCACTGGGAACTTGTGGAAGGCAAGAACTATTGCCCGGCATAGGCCCTGGCCACAGCAGAACTCCTTAAGTGTCTACTGAAATGAATACTAATAACAGCTACCCTTTTTAAAGTACCCATTGTGTGCCAGGTACTCAGTAAGGTCAATTCTATTTATGATCTCATCTACTCCTCAATAAATAAATCCCATGATGTTGGTGTTAAATTGTGTTCTTTTTAACAGAAAAGGAACTGGGCTCAGAGATGTGAAGTGAATTGTTTAAGGTCGCCCAGCTAGTGAGTGACAGAGTTGGGATCGAAAATGAGAGGTGTTGGCACCAATGCAAGGATTGGTCCACTATGCTTCCCTACCCTGGACTGTGAGATTGGGAGATGGCATCAGCAGAACAGGACCAAGAACCAGGGCCAGAAAGCCCTGCCCGGGTTCCATTTCCCAGGGCCACTTATTCTTATTTTCACTCCTGTGTCATCTTCCTGCCAAGACCAGGGACCTGGCTCTCTCTTCTTATAGTGCAATCCCCTCCAACCCATGTACTACTCTAAGCCTCCTCATCCCAAAGTCCCACTTTGGTCAGGCTCGTCCTTTGTTCCAGAACCATCTCCAGACATGTACAGCTTTTAGATCCAATCCAATCCAGTGCTACACTCTCGGCTATGAGGAAAACAAGAGACGAGTAGTCCCTGCCCTTCAAGCGTTGATAGCCACCCAGGAGTTTTACATGTACCATCTCTAATCCTAAAATCAACCCTGAGAGGTAAGTAGGCATTATCCTCATTACACAGATGAGGAAACAGAGGCTCAGGGGTTAAATGGCTTGCCCAAAGTCATAGAGTTGGTAAGTGGCCAAACTTGGACTTGAACAAAGGTATTGACTCAACTACTGTTCCCCCATTGGGTCATCCTGCTCGGAAGAGCCAAAAAATGGGAAACACCATTTCTGGCGGGGTTAGGGAATGAAGGAAAGCTATTACTCCTTCAAGACTCAGTACACACAGCTCTCCCCGTAAGGGAAAGATGGGGTTAGGTGCACCTCCTCTGGCAGCCCTCTGAGGCTACTTCTGTCCCATCCTGAACCACACTATGCTGTCACTGTCTATGTGTCTCTCTCCCTTCTAGACAATTGAGCTCCCTAATGGTAGGACAGAAACAATTCACTCCCATATCCCATCAAGGTTCAGATTAAGGCCCTAACTGAGAGCAGGCAGGCCAAATGCTTGCTAAATGAATGAGGTTGGTATTTGAGCTAGTTATTAAAAGGAAAAGCAAGATCTGAACAGCAGGATACAGGTAAACAGTATAGAGGAGAGAAATGAGTGAATAAAAGCAAGGAAATGGAACCAAGGAAAAAGGCCAATAATTTTGAAATTATGACAGGATGTGTACAATATGTTTTCACAGTCATGAGGGTTTTCTTTTCCTTACAAGAGTGGGATCATACTAGAAGCCTTGTTCTGCAACTTGATTTTTTCATATAACTAAGTCTTGGAGATCTTTCCATGCCAGTATATAGATATTTTTCTTTTGATCTGTTACAGAGTAATCCATAGTATGGGTGGATCGTGAAGGAAAAGCTGTTCTCTACTGATGGACATGTAGGTAGGTTGTTTTAATTTTTTGCTATTACAAACGATGCTGCAATAAACATCTTTGCATATGTCTGGAAGTAGTTTTGAAAGATAGATTCCTAAAAGTTGAATTTCTGGACCAAAGAAATGCACGTTTTGTTTAAAATGTAGATAAAAGTTATTTCTGTTGCTTTAACATTTTTATAGACTGGCTAAAAACAAAGATTATTCCTACCCATATAATTCTGTCTTTATTTTGAGAAGCATACATCATGCAACCTTTTCATTATGAGTTGGTTGAGAATGTTATCCTACAACAGCATGTGATAAAGAGTTGCACAGTATGACTTATGTTTGCAGTTGGGACTAGAGTGTTTTAGAAAAGGCTTCTGGCTGGCCAAATTGGAGTCCATCTAGTAGTAAAACCTTACAGAAATCTAGCTCCAAGACATGGCTCTCAGCTTGGAAGTATATGCACATTTAAGATTCTGGTGGCAGCTAAAAAAATTTTTATGGCACCAATTTGCACTCTAATCAAGGAATATGAGAGGTTCTGTTTCCTCACAATCCTTTTAATCTTGTAAATTTGGGTACATTAAAATTGGTACTTTATTGTTGTTTTAGTTACATTTCTTTAGATATTAGTAAGCGTGAGCATCCTTTCTTATTCATTAGCTAATTGTCTATTTCTTCTCTGAATTGCCAAATCATGTTATTTCTCCATTTTAAATAGGTGTGCACCTTTTTCTGATTGATTTCCAAGAGATGATATAGATATAGGCAGAGATATTAATCTTTGCCTAATACCTCTGTAGCAAATACTTTCTCCCCGCTTGTTGTTTTTGTTTTAACTTTGTGTATAGTATCTTTCTCCACACAGAAGTTCTTAACTTTAATGTTGTTAAAACTATTGCCCTTTACTTCATGGCTTCTGGGTTTTTAAGTCATGCTCAGAAAGGCTTCTCCACCCTAATATTATAAAAATATTCTAGATTTTCCTCTAGCACTTCTACAGTTCTATTTTTTGTATTTGTTTTTGTATGAGGTTGGGGTTTAACTTTTTTCCCAAATGATAGTCAATAGTCCCATCCCATTTACTGACTTCCCACTAATTAGAAATGTGCTCTTTATCATAAATTAAATTCCCATTATGAATATATGTTTGTCTAAACTCTCTATTTTGTCTCATTTATGTAATCCTCTATTACTGTGGTGATATAATATTTGTAATTTCTGCAGCTTTGTAGTAAGTTTTTGTATCTAATAGAGCAAATCTCTCTTCATTGTTTTTTTTTCAAAATTTTTAGTAATTCATGGGCATTTACTCTACCAAATGAACTTTAAAATCCAATTGCCCAACTCCAAAAGAAAATACCACTGAAATTTTAATGAGAAATGCATTGAACCCTTTGACCAAATTGGGGAAAAAAAGTCATTTTTACCATATTGAATCTTCCCATCCAGGAATAGGATACTACTCCTGATTTGTTCAAGTCTTATTACAGCCTTCGATGAAATTTTATAATTTTCTACAGAGAAGTATTTTACATTTCTTATAAATTCCTAGGAATTTTATCTTTTTTTTTTTTTGCTATTGTGCATGGAATCTTTTTCTATTACATGTTATAATTAGTTATTGCTGGTATTCAGAGAAGCTAATGGTTTAGATGTATATTTATCTTGTATCTACCCATCTCATTGAATTTTCTTATTAGTTCTAATAATTTTTCCTTTTATTCTCTTTGGTTATCTAAGTCGACAACCATATCATCTTCAAATAATGCTAATTCTGACCTTTTCTTTCTAATACTTATACCACTCATTCCTTTTGTCAATCCCATTGGTTAAAACTTCCAGAAAAACATGGGTTAGTGACAGTGATAGCAGTCTTCCTTATTTTGTTCCTGAATTTAACAGAAATTTATCTAGTACTTCATTGTTACATTTGATGAAATTCTTTACCTGATAAAAATTCTTTACCAAATTAAGGAAGTTTTCATTGATTCCTAGCTTACTGTACTAGTTATCTATTGCTGCATAACAAATTACCCCAATATAGCAAGAGATAACTAAGACACTAAGAGTTTTTAAATCAAGAATGGATGTGTAATTTTATCAGATTAATTTTTCAGTACTTATAGAGATACTTATATGATCTTTTCTCTTTAATCTATTAATATAATCAATTATAATAACAGTTTTCCTAATGTTGAACAATCCCTACATTCCTAGGACAAACCTTCATTTGTCACAATACATTCTTCTTTTCATACACTGATGGGTTCACTTTGATAATCTTTCATTTAAAATATTTGTTACTCTGTCAATATATGAGATTTAGCTATAGTTTTTGTTTTTTTGTCTAAACCTGTCCAGTTATACTAGCCTTCTGGAATGAACTGGGAAGCTGTCCACCTTTTCCTATTATCTGATCTTTCAAGATTCGACAGAACTTCCATCATACCACAACTTCCATTTATACCAACTGGGCCTGATATCATTTCTGAGGAAAAAACTTGACCATCTTTTAACTTTCTTCTATACTGTTCTATTCTATTCAGGCTTTCTGCCACTCTTTATGTCATTTTGGTAATTTATATTTTCCGTGATAACCACCCATTTCATCTAAATTTTTACATTTATTGGTATAAAATTATACAAACCATTTTCTTATGACTTTTTTCATCTCCTCAAAATCTGTGGTTAAATCCTCTTTGTCATACCTTATTTATGTTTTATTGCCTTTTTCTCAGTCACATCTGCCAGAAGATGGTCTGTGTAGTTTACTGGTCTTTTCAAAAACCACCTCTTAGTTTATCAAATCTTTTGTTTTCTATATCATTAATTTCTGATTTTATCTATAGTACTTACTTTATTCTGCTTTCTTTTGGTTGTACTTTTTCTAGATTCTTGAGAAGAATAATTAGTTTATTTAATTTAAACTGTCTCGTTCTCTAATAAAAGCTCAAGAACACAAATTTTCTTCTGGGAACCTCCATGGTCATATCCCCTAGGTTTTCATATATAGCATTCTCATTGACATTTATTCTAAATAGTCTATACATTCCATCCTTATTTCCTCTTTAACACAAGTATTTTTAAACTTTCAAATGGGCCTAGCCTTTTTGCTGTTGCTATTAATATGTCATTTTATTACATTATAATTAGAAAATATAAAATGTGTTTTCCAATTAACTTGGAAACAATGTTGTTCTTCAAAGTGTGGGCAGATTATTCCTTCTGCCTAAACACGCTTCCCCTTCCTATCCAACTGGCAAACTCTTACTCATTTTTCAAAACAGCTCAAATGTTACATATTCTAGGACCAACTACTCCTGCTTTTGGGAGCAGGTATCCAGCGAAGGATTTTTTTAAGGAAGCACAAACTACAAACAGATTTTGAATGTCCTCTTTGGTCTCCTGACCTGTCCCCCAGTCACTCTCCTCACACGCTCAGACACCCATGCCACAATCACACAATCACCCAGGGGTGGGGGGCAGGGGGGGCTAGAGGGCAATAGGGGAAGGGCTGGCAATGATATTGCATATTTGTCTTGGTGGGGTGAGGGATTGAGGGAAGGACAGGTCTAGCTCTTACCTGCTCTCTGCCAGCCTGCCTGAGGGGGTAAGCTTCATGGAGTCAAGGACCTGAGTAGGACAGCAATACTGGTGTAGAGTATGAGACGCTGTGGACCTGAGAGACAGTGAGAGACAGAGAGAGAAAGAGAGACAGAGAGAGACAGGGAGGGAGGAGAGAGGAAGGGTGGGGAATGGGTACAAGGAGGTGAGAGTAAGTTGGGGAGGGGAAAAGGGAAGACTGGGAGGAATGGGTGGTAGAGGATAGGGAATGGAAGAGGCGGTGGGAGGCAAGGAAGGAGGGAGGAGAGGGAGGGCAGGAAGAGAGGGAGGAAGGGAGGGAGGGAAGGAAGGAAAAAAGGAAGGAAGGAAGGAAGAAAAAAAGAAAAAAACCACAAAGTCAAGAAAGAGAGGACGGCACTCGAACCACAAACAGAACACAACGACAACAGGGGGCGGCAGAGACGAAAGAGCCAGGCTGGGCCTCCTGTGCTCCAGGTGACTCCGTGGGGACCTCAGCCACGGAGACACTGGGACACCACAGCAGGGAAGGGGGAAGGGAGCCCTCCTCACACCAGACGCCACACGGGTAGGAAAGAGGGGAGAGGGAAGGAGGGATGAAAGAGAAAGGGAAAAGATGTGTGGGGGGGCTCCCCCTTATAGAAGACCCCTCACAAGTAGGGAGGGAAGGATGAAGAGAGGAGAGGCTCTGGGTCCAAAGAGGGAAAAGAACCCAGACCAGGCGGGTGGAGGAAACACTGTAGGAGGAAAGGGAGAAAAACAGAGAGAAACCGAAAGAGACAAGGAAAGGGTAAGACAGAAAAGCAGAAAGACAGAGAAAGAGGAAGACAGAGAAAGGGTGAGACAAAAGACACAGAGAGAAGACAGGGAGAGGCAGAGAGTGCCAGAGCAAAGGAGAGGAGAGGCGAGGGCGGAGGAGAGCTGACAAGGTCTCAGTGGTCTTGGTGACAGGATAGGACTGGGGGCTGAGTGGGTGGGTGGGGCCTCTGATTCCAAGGCCAGTGTTGCGCCCCCCCCCCCAGCATGGTGCAGGGCCCCTGCACTCCACTCCCCAGTGCTCTGCCCCTACCCCTAGTGCAGGGTCCAAAGGCCCCTCTGCCTCCTGCTTCTCGTGATTAAAGTCCAGAGAATGGGGAGGGGGAGGAGGGACAGCAGGGTAGTGAGGCTGAGGGCCCGGTCCCAGCCTTACCCAGCACAGGGCAGATGCTGGAAGTGGAGCTGGCCCTTCCAAGTCAGCTAGGCCCTGTCCCCCACAAGCCCCTGAAAGCAGGTCACAGTCAGGGCCTGGCCATTCAAGAGACTGAGTAAAGGCCAGGAGATGTGCCTGCAGGCCAGGCCAGATGCCCACTATCTCACTTGTTGCAAATTCGAGGATGCCCAAATCTTAGAACCTTACAGAGAATCTTGGAATCTGAGACTCTTCTCATCAGAGAC